ACCGTTATGGATTATTAAACCGTAACACATCATGCTTCCAGTATAACTACAAATACATGAACGAAATGTTCCAGCTTCGCCTATCTACAATTATGTATTATCTGAAGATGAGTACTTTATGCAGAAATTGAGGTCAAAATTCTAAAATTAATTTAAAGGACAACAGCGCATACCCAATTCATTATACAGTAATCTCCGAAGTTTCAGATCATGCACGATTATTTTTCAAGAGAAACAGTATGAAAGAGAGCAATTTAACTCAATACAGTAAGGTAGTTTCCCAATGCGGAAAAACTGGCTAAACAGAAGAATCAGAGAATCCTTAATTATCCAGTCCTGCGAAAATATCAACCTGGACAAACGATACGAACTCTGCATGGATTCAATGCGCATTAACAAGCCCATTAACGACAAACTACTAAATCAGTACCATGCGCCAAAAATACACTTTTGGTTCCAAACGTCATAACATCTGCGGACCACATAAACAACTGCAAAAATCAACTCGTATCACCCTGAAGACAATTCGTGCGAAACAAGCCAAAACTCCGGCGCTGGTCAATCACCCGATTGGCCAACTTGTATGCTTGCATTGTGCATGAGCCGTTTTTAAATATTTTTGTATTAAAATGTTTCACCGAGGAAAGTATCTATAAAAGTATCCATTGAGCCAACATCTTCGTGTTGATTGACGGTTCACTATTTCACTTAACACCCGCTGCACAGTACGATTTAGTACTGAAGGAACAGCAGAAAACAAACCACTGAAGCTAAACCTGATAATTACTTATGCTGTCGACACTCAATTCGATAAAACAGCAATTTCAGGAGTAAGACAATGATTACTTGAATGACAATGAACATGCAAAATGGACTGACTGAATCCAAGTGAGACCTCCAATTGTCCACCAATTTGCGCGCCCGACCATGACATACATTCAAGTAATAAGAACAGACGCAATCGCTAGCAGCCACATGGCAAAAACAAGTTCGCGCATCAGCGGTTACTATACAACTGCTAATTGGTGAGTGCACACTTCAGCATCAACGGAACGGTGAGCCATTCTTCTACTCACAGAATTCCATCGACAGACGATGTGAATCGATGTTCTTTCCTTTGGGGGTAAGAGCCGAGGAAGCGAAAGAAAACGAGAGAAGAAACAGACCGCTATCACAAGGCAGTAGCACTGGCCTCAACATTTTCCCCATTTCCAAATAAACGCGAGTGAAAGTTGATGGATACTATTCCTATTATATTTCACACTTTACATATAAATATATCTTTAATATGAAGAGATGAATGAATCAGATGATGAATAAACGAATCAATGAGAGAAGAATGAATCAAAGGATGAGAAGATAAATGAAAGAAGTAACGAATGAACGATGGCATGAAGGAACGAAGGGATTTACAAACGAATCGTTTAAACAATCAATATATGAAAGAATGCACGAATGACCTAATATACGAATAACAAAATCTATAAAAAATGAATGAAAAAACGGACTGAAGAGGTGGAGTATGAAGGGATGAAAGAATGAATAAATGTAGTGAGTGTATGAACGAATAAATGGATGAATGAATGAAAACATGAACGAACGGAGTGCTGGACAGACAGAGGAAACAAAGGAATAAATGAAAAAATGGATGAAACAAAACGACTTACATGACGAATCATGAATACGAATAAATCGACTAATCAATTAATGAATGAATACAACAATGAGTGAAAATATAAATGAAACAATAAACTAAATAATTAAGCGACGAGTAAAAATATGGATGAACGATGGATGCATCAATGAATCAAAGAATGAAGGAATACAGAGCTGAATTAATAAATGAACGAATGAAAGGGTTAGTGAATGAACCGATAAAACAAGAAAGGGATAAAATTAATGCTTTTTGTTCCGTTACCAGTGATGATTCAAATAATCGTACCTATCTGACCAACTTCTATCATATACTGAACGAATAAAGCAGTAACAATTAAATCATTCAACAGATCAATATATCAGTGTTCGGCATCAATATATCAGTATCAGTATCAATGTTCAATAGATATCAAAAACAGACCCCAAGAGTGTGAGCTTAACCCGTTACATGATGCCAGCAAGAATAACAATCTGCTGTCAATTCTGCGGCTATACATCCACGTACTGCAGGTGCCAAAAATCAAGCCCCCTTGAACGGTTTCCAGGGCTACTAGAAGCAAACAAACGGTGCGACTACGAAGTGTACATCCGGAAAACTGACAAAAGATTGTACGATACTACATGTCATTTATTTACACATCTACAACAGTAATCGTCATAAATAATAAATAGATGTTTAATTCTACGCTTAGACCACAAAGGTACAAACGGTTATCAGCTGGTTTTTGGAAATATCAGTACTGATATTCACAGCAATCATAACTGCCACGGAAGTCTCTCCAGGATTGCAAGTCAGAATACCAGATGAGAAGCCATTTTGGACACGGTGGGTATGCATTGGGCACTACCGCCCAAAATGTGGCTCTTCAATCATAGAGTACGTTATGCCAGCGATGTTAAACGATTTACGAAAGGTGAGCCATCAGTTCTATCAACGATGCAGCGGGACGAACAGCGGCTGCTTATGACATTCTCAATCCACCTGTGCAAACATTGACCCGCGAGCAGTTTAAAAGTCAGGTCCGCGAACCAGAGCGTGATAGCAAGGTTTCTACAGAATACTACTATCTTTCCGATAACGTCCCAAGATGACGGAACTAAAAAGTTCAATTTTCCAACATAAGCCAACAGAAAGAAGGGTCACACAAAGTGTCACCATAAAAAATTCTACGGTTACATCGTTCTGTGCCACCAGCGAAGACGAATCGGTCAACTAGCTTCTCAACCTTGCCATCGGTACGTTACAATTAACAAAAAGTGAGGAAGCATCACTACTGGCAATAGCCATTCAATAATCAGCAACAACCTTAATATAAACGTACAGAATAAGCAAGTACAAGCAGCTGTTTCTGCTTTTTAAGCAATCCAAAACAACCGAGTAAAAAAAAAGTTAGACAGACCGATCATCAGTTCTGTTTAAAGAATCGAGAACGAGTTCCGGCTAGCCGCAAATCGCTTTGTATCGCTTATCACTAAACTTTCATATTAGTAAAATGAACACAGGGCGCTGATATGGACATCTTGCACTTACAGTAAATATTAGACGCAGATTCTGCTTTGGAAATATAAACTATTCGTAGTTAATGGCCTCTAAAAAGAGGCAACACCACTGCATCATAACCTCCATGAAATGAGGAGATAAATCACCAGTGGGGCCAACTACGGAAGTTGAACGGAACATACCCATATACCAATCGTCGTCACAAGACCCAATTTCGTTTCTCATGCCAAAGCTCATCATGGGAACCAGCGGCACGTTCAAAGAGCAGCATATGATACGAGACGTGGTCGATTCACTCGTGCCGACCCAGTCATTGATTGATCGACTCGTTGAACACAGCGACAGGACAATCTCAAAGCCGTATATCGACGCGGTCGATTTTAAAGTTAACGCACCAAGCTACCATCTTGATGTAGCTCGCGCGCGTCATTACCATGGCTAAACTTCGGACTCTTGGCCTTTACTCCACCCCCCCCACCACTCATCCCACCATAACCAGTCAATCATATTTATTGTTTCCATTCTTACTAAAAGCGAACAGGTCCTATGGTGCATGTCACATTCGAATTGATATTTATTTTACCTTTACAACGGTCTGATGAACAGATCACCATAAACGGAACTGCTGATCTACCGTACGATCCTGCTCAGACACAAGTGAACTTATTTTGCTATTTCATTTGCGTCACTTGATTGCTAACGTTACTGACAGGGCGAGATGGCATTTATAGGTGCATCGTTTCAACGAAACATTGGCATTTCAAACGGAAAACTTCAGATTATCACGTGATTAATCGGGGAACTTTTTCGCGACCGTCATGCCACCTTCGACACCGAATGTTGAAGACCTACTCGCGCCTCGGCTCAAAAAACAAAGATTTGGGCCAGAAACCCACGGGGCGTCGAAGGCGAATGGCCGCCAACTTGGCCAGTTTTTTTTAATACATCACAAAAAATAATAAGTTTTATGTCGAACCCGAAATACTTCCCTCGATAGGGTACCAACACAATACTGAAATCGTCCAAAATTTTCTGCCTCTTCAGCAACTGGTCTACCGTAAACACAAAAAAACACCACCACGTATACACTACCCGTAGATTGATGCTTATCGCGCGCGCGCGATCGGCGTATGAACAGACCGCATCGTTACCGTATGAACGGTAAAAATGATTATCATGTTAAGTAAAGCCGATATTTCCGAAAAAATACTTTTTGTTAAGAAGCGCGATAACTTAACGATCGCTAAGCCCGGAGCGGTGAACAGTTCTGATAGTGCACTACAAGTTCGTGAGTCCATCATCATTTAAACGATATCTGTGCTGTCTTTCAAGAATTAAGTAATATCTGACAACTCAAAAAATTTGGCTTGTTCCAAAATCCTACCATGAGTAAATAAGTTTCAGAACGTTAGCCATGAAGATCAGTCATAGTATGAACTGTTAATCAGAAAAGTAGGATATACACGATTTTAAAGATGGCGCGAAAGCAAAGCCTGCACTTCGTAATCTTATTCTCAGATGTATCATCAAATCCGAAATACAATGCAGGCGTGGATAACATCGAAAATCGTTTTAGAAACTTTTTTAAAGGACAAGCTATAAGATACTGAAAATGCTCAAGGAATTTATCTTCGCGAATGAGAGAAGATGAAAAAAAAAACTGCCTGATTAAATGATCAGAAGCTCGAAAAGTCAAACCAATTTATATCGATGCTCTGATAATTTAAAAAATGAAAACCCTGCAAGTGTTGAAGTGTTTTTCCATTTACTAACATATTATGGCCAACTGTAACACCCTTGTAATCATGAAGTTGATGGTATTGGTGCTGATTTCGGTTTCCGTGTTACCAGGCAGTAATGTCTTGCATTTAAACGCAGATTCAACAGCAGATACGTGACAAACGTAGTCTGTCATCTCAGTTTCCTACCTACTTCCTAGTCATTTACCACAGTAGTAGTAAGTTATCAACTTGGGAATAAAGAACGAGTGTCCATGACTAGGCTCGAACCCTGGACGTTTGCATCACCTACCGAGTAACTCCTGTCTGAAACAACGCGTGGTTAAATTCTCGCTCACGGAAACTCGTGGTAACGACGAAGATTGCCTGCTGCAGATACCTCCAGGGTTCGAGTTTAAAGCGGATTTATTTCTCATTGTGTTGACATGACATCACCAATAATTTGGAGTGGTTCATATGATCTCCATTCTTGAATTGAAAGAGAGGCTGCCATTCCCATTCTCCTATCTATTGGTATCTTTTAGGTCTTAGCCACAGTTTGAGAGACACTTGATTGGCACAACATGCTGTATTCGCTTAGTTATAGGCATCACGCAGATAATTTCAGTGTCAGCAGTTTTGTCACTTCAGAAGCTTTTAGCAGCTTGGCAGCTGTGACTTCATCTTCTGACAGACGAATATTTGCCTGATGCATTTCCGGCTAGTCTTAATGCGGTTGCTCGGACATAACGATTTTCTCAAAGTACTGCCTCTCTCACTGAAGCATGTCCTCTTCCTTGGCAAGTAGGCGTCAGGACTTGTCCTTCAAGACTATATGGACTGCCTTTCTTTCATATCGGATGCTGTGGATGGTCTACCAGAATGCCTTGTTTTCCATCTGGAAATTCGATTTCAGCACAACAACTTTAATTTCAGCCAGTCATATTGTACAATACTTCGCCAGGGTTATAAAAAGGTCGCTTTCAAACGTTATCAT